TAGCTGCTGGGCGATATCTTTCGGGATACTCTCGGTAAAAGGGCAGCTAGCAACCGCTCCTGCGACTCCTCATCCAATGTTGGAAGTGCTCGTCGAAGTAGTTTAGTCAACTACACAGAGAACACCAAGGGATCTTCATCTGTTCCAAGTTTCGTGCGCCGGAACTGCTGCATCGCCAGCTCCCTGTTCGCTGGACTATCGAACTGCGCTTCCAGTTGTTCAACCATTCTCTGCCAAGTCTCCTTCCCCTCTCCACATTCCATGCCGTCACACGCTACTTTCTCTTTTACCCACTCCGCAACGTGCCAAGTATGATGACCTTCGACCCTGGATCCCGAACACCCACCAGCTCCGCGACCGACTCGAAGTCCCTGAGAAAGACCTTAATGTCTCCATCCTCGAACTCTGCAGGCCGTGAAATCTTCATCACATCTGGAAGCAGCGACACCAATTGTAGGAAGTAAAAGACAGGTCTGCAGGTAGGAGCTATGTCTCATTGGTATAGAGAGATGAGTTTCAACAAATGGGTCACGGGTTCGAATGCCGCTCCATCTGTCTAGGTTTGGGCAGCCAGTAAGTGTCATCACTGGCCTTTATATAATAAGTATACCTTACTTTCTAATACAAAAAGGTGACCAAGGTTGCCGAGTGCATTTTTTCTTCATCTCCTTCTTATACTCTGTAACAAAGCTGATGGCGATCGGTATCACAAGCATTCAGTACAACATTTCACTTAGTTTACACTTAGTGCAATTAAGCACTTGTAGGATTGTCTTTTGTTGCGTTCAACTAAGAATATACTGAGTGTGTTTTTCCATTCTCTGATTCACTTGGACTATACTATGTATCCACATCTAGCTAGTACTGTATTATCGATTCCATCCATGAAACCAGGATGAGAATACATTTCATTGGCACTAGAAAAGAATCATCGGAAAAAACTTGGTGACTTCAGATAATTTCCTATCACATTCGGATGTTTGATCCATTCCATACTTAGATTATTATTATATTATTATTAGCCCTTTAGTTCCTAATGGAACATAGGGCTTCAGTAGCACGTCTCCAGTGAACTCTGTTCTCTGAAATCTTACGTACCTGGCTCCACGACAGCCAAGAAGCTCTCATTTCCTCCTCAAACGATCTCCTTCATGTTACCCTTGACTCGGACACCCAACTCGTCGCTCCCCAAAGGGGTTCCACTCGAAACTCTGGCCTGACGCGTGATGTCCTTAGTCGGCCTTCTCAGTGTATGCCCAATTCATCTCCACTTCCTTCTGCATATTTTTTGGACGATGCGTTCTTGGTTGGTTCGTTGCCAGAGTCCCTCGTTGCTTATTCTTTCTGGCAATCCATCTGATCTTCAGTAAAGAGCCATTGTAGGCAGTTGTTGATGAATGTCTGTAGTTTATTGGAAATCCCTTTCGTGACGCGCCAAGTCTCTCAACCATCACACAGAAGCACTGACTTGACGTTGGTGTTGAAAATCCGGATCTTGTTCCACATGCTGAGTGCAGAAGATCTCTACACTGGTTTCAGGCTAATGAACGCCTGTCTTGCTGTCTTTCCGATCCTGGCTGCTTTGACATCCTCTTCTGTGCCACCTGTAGTTGAAACAGTGCTGCCGTGCCTAGATAGGTGAAGTAGACTATTCCTTTAAGTTTCTCTCATTGATGGTGATTCGAGTTTGTTGTTGTTGTTGGTGCTGGTGGTGATGATGTTGTTTGGGTATCATCATCACCTCTGTCTTCTCCACGTTCACTTGAAATCCCATCTTCACTGCCTCTTCTATCAACTTGTTAGTTTTGGCCTGTAGATCGTCGCGTTTGTGTGACAGGACATTAGACATAAATCATCGTCGGCGAAATCCAAATCTTCTAGACTCTTTCCACTGGTCCAGCCAGCGTATCCTCCTCTTCTCGCTCCCCACTGTTTGCTGCACGATCCAGTCGACCACAATCAGGATATCATGGGTGATAGTAGACAGCCTTGTTTTACTCCTGTCTTCACTTCACTTCAGAGGCATCAGTGAGCTTCCGATTGTGAATTACTTGGCTGGCATGTGGCGTCTTCATATAGTTGTTGAATGAGGCGGATAAACGTTTGTGGTAATCCGTAGTAATGAAGCAGTTTCCAAATTACCCATCTGTCGACGCTGTCAAAGGCCTTCTCACAGTCAATAAAGTTGAGATGTAGAGTTGACTGCCATTCTTTACTCTGTTCTATGATGATGCGAAGCGTTGCAATTTGATCCGCAAATGATTTGTTTTTCCTGAATCCAGCCAGCCAGCCTGTTCCGGACGTAGTTTTGAATCCAGTGCATCCTTTAGTCTCTCCACGATGATGCGGCTTAATATTTTCCTTGATCTGGGTGGACAACAGCATGATTCCACCCAGTACTTGCATAGACTTAGGTTTCCTTTCTTTAGGAGTTTGACAAGATAGCTCTTATTCAAATCTGCATGTACCTCCCCTTCCTTCCACACCTTCTGCAATAGTGGTGTGAGCATGTCTGCTGTTGTCTCTGCGTCTGTTCTCAGTGATTCTGGCGGGATCCCATCTAGTCCTGCTGCTTTCCCGCATTTCAACATTTTTATGGCATTCAGGACTTCCATTTTTGTTGGAGGATTTATGTTCACTTGTAGTTCAGCAGCCGGGCTGCTGGTGGTATTTCTGGACGAAGTGCAGGTGGAGGTGTTGGTCTTTTCAAGAGCTTCTTGAAGTGGTCGGCTCATCGTTCCCTCTGTTTCTCTTCTTTCGTAATTAAATTTCCTTCATCATCTTGTACTGGTTTCATCTGTGTGATCTCTTCCCTCCCAGATAGCAACCTGGTTATTCGATACAATGTTGTCAGGTCTCTCTTTCTCCTGGGAGCAGCCTGTTCTGCTTCACTTGCCAGTGTTTCGTAGAAGTGTCTTTTGTCTTTGCGCTCACTCTTCTTCACTACTTTGTCTTGTCCAGTGTTTTATACATTGTACTCAGTTCCTCTTTTCGTTGTGCATCCCTACCTGCACTGGTTTATCTTCTGCCTCACCATCCTCCTCTCCACTACCAGCCTCCATGTGTTTGTCGAGATCCATTCCTTATCTTCTTTCTTCTTCCTTCCTTCCTGATACGGTTGTGCAGGTTTCTTTCCACATCTCTTTCAAAGACTTCCAGTGTTCTTGCACACAGGTTTCTTCAGGGATGTTCCTCGATATCTGCCATTTTGTCTTGATGGCTGACGTGAAGATTTCCTTTGTAGTTTCGTCCTTCAGTTTCCGAGTATTGTACTTGAACTGTGGTCTGTCACCAGCTTCCCTGAAGGCTTTCAACTTGATTTTGAAGGTGGATTGCCTCGACTAGATAGTGGTCTGAGCCTACATCTGCTCCTCTTCTTGACTTTGTGTCAAGTAGGCTGCATCTCCACTTTCTCCAGATTGAGATGAAGTCGATCTGATTTTTGTTGTGTCCTGGTGTCTGGTGAAATCAACTCCATAGTGGCTGCCTTGTGGATATCCTTGTGTTTGTACACACTGCCTCACTCCAATCACCAAATCGTTGAATGCACAGAATTCTGCAAACAATTCTCCATTCTCGTTCATCACCTCACCGAGCGCTTCTCGTGTGTTGTCTGCTGCCAGTTCGGCATTCATGTCGCCCATCAGAATTTTGATATCGCCAACTGACGTCTTGTCCAGTGTTGATTGAAGTTGCCTGTAGAATTCCTCCTTCTTCTCTTGCTCTGCATTATTAGTAGGCGCATAGCTTAGCATTGTATGATTGTGACCTTTCTTCCTTTTGAGTTGGATCTTGCTGTCATGATCCTGGAGGAGATTGGTTCCCACTGCATGAGAGCCTTCGATGCTGTTGGGGACATCATGATAGGCACTCCAATACTCAGTGTGCTCGTGGTTGTCTTGTAGTCTGGGTGACACTATCGATGTAGATTATTGACTCCTCTCCAGTTAACAGTTTGGAAACTCCACTCCCATTCCATCTGCTTTCGCAAATTCCAAGCACTTCAGTGTGATACCTCTTCATCTCTTTTGCAATCTGGGCTGCCTTGCTGGGTTCAAACATCTTGCGGACATTCCATGTCCCCACGTTTACTTTTGCTTTCATCGAGATAGGCGAAGACACATCGGCCCGGTCAATTGGCTTCCCGAAGGCTTTCACCAACTGGCATCATTTCGCCTCTCCGATTGGAGGGAGGAATAATTTCGCTTTTATTTTTTATATTTTGTTTGTGCTTTGAAGTTTCTTTAGAGGTTAGATTTGTTTTCCGGGGTAGGGTTGCTAGCCCTTTGCCCAACTTTCCCTCTTTACGCGGGCTTAGGACCGGCTAGTAACTAGTGAACTAGTTAACCAGGCGAGGTTACCAGTGGGGAATAAGTTAATTTTTATTTCTTATATTTACTTTATGCTCTGAAGTTTCTTTAGGGATTGGATCGGTTTTTCTGGGTAGGGTTGCTAGCCCCATGCTGAAAGTTCCCCCTTTATCCGGCTTAGGACCGGCTAGTAACTAGTCAACCAGGCGAGGTTCCATACTTGGATGATTTACAAAAAGGACATCTTTAAAGGGCTATCCAAATCCGATAGTCAGTCAGTTTCAAATTATCTTTTGAGCGTATTTTGGCATTTATAACCGACTAATGTGATTTAAATGTACAGTGAAGAAATGCATTCCTAGTGTAGCAGTTACTTATTATGCATACAAAGTGATTACCGACTTATCGAAACAGATTTCAGAAAATGCAATACGATCAAGATGGTAAGTCATAAGACATCATGATAACAGCACAGATCTTGGGGTGGTCATATGTGAGTCTTTATGTTTAAGTGATTTAGGTCGAGCCTGAGAAAGAAAGTACAAGGATTCATAAGATTTCTAGAACATCTACTAGCTACTGCTAACATCTCCGAAACTTAATTATACGAAGTCTGACAGATCTTATTCATACAAGCATATCACTAAAAAGAAATATCCCATAGAGGCGAAAGTTCTAGACCTATCTTACCTGCATGATCTGTAAGTTTCACAAATATTCTTGTTCGGATGAAAATTGAGCATCTTGTAGTGCACATTATCGACGAAATGTTTCGACCGAAAGGCTGAATGCTGAATGCTTCCCATGTTAACAGATAACCGTTCGCTCGTAGTGCATTTATGAATTGAAACGACTGAATAATCATTGTCAACAATTTTGAATCGGTCCATAATTCGGAACTTTTGATTGATGCTCTTTTTTATAAAGTAAGTTTTTACATTTGCATGATGCAAATTTCCTTCAGCCATTGAGATCTGCTTCTTCAGACTGACACCAGTCTCCACTGTTAAGATTGTTCTTTTATCTGAAATACAGTAACAATAATTCGTTGTGGATAGAATTTTTGAATACATTTTTCTACGCGCTGGCAAGTAAACGTTACTGGAATTATTCCAGTAGTCTTTCATTGTCTTCTGTTAGGTGTCTGTTAACTTTAGCTATTTTGTGACAATGAATTATGGGAACTGTTATATTTAATAGCGTGTTACATCATTAGTTATTCTAGTAGGAAGCAAATGCCGTCCATAGGTTTTTGTCACTGATATGAAATAGCTTTCTGTCGTTGTTTGCTTGTATCACAAAGACAGACAGACGTGTGTGTGATATAAAGTGGTATGGCTGCATAGTCGCTCAGTTTAACCTAATTACCACCAGTGCATAGAGAGATAAAGATAACAGCAGTAAAACTAAAACAACGAACTTAATGATGTCAACAACTGTAAAACATTTACGTCGAAAAATGATGGGAAGAAACTTTTTCTCAATTTATATTAAGATGAGGCACGGAGATAATTACACCAGCGCCACAAGTATTGCACATTGCAGCCTAAATTCTTCTGTCGTTGACTATTACGATCTTTTTGTCTCCAAACTTGAAGCTTACTTTCGTCTACTTAAGTGACTTACGAGTTAAAAACTGAGCACACCAGTATTTCGTCGTAGTTTGGCTTTCTTCAGGGTTTCTTTCCTACTTGGTCTTACCACAGCATACATAACATAAGTTCTAGCCACTTTGGTTGATGAATTTTTATGATTTCATAAACTGATCTATCTCCCTTACTTCCCTATCACTTATTTCGCCACACCATCCTAATTTCAACGTTATACAAAGTTCTAGGTGAAGGCAGTATATCAGCTATTTGGGGTATAAAACAATAATAGGTTCGGCAGTTAATGTTTACAACAAGGACATTAACCTGCACCATAGATACCATAAACAAAGCTTGTTTATGAATTTTAAAAAAGTAGTAATATTCGACTGTAAAACTAAGCAAAAAAGCCTAATGATACACGTTATTTGATAACTAACTTACTTGTCACAATATAAATAATATCACTACTGTCACTGGTATTTAAATTATCCCACTGTATTGTTAAGCTTATTGGTGATTCATGTAATTCTTTTTCTTCAACGTCACTAAGAGTAAATATTTCCAATGCTTGTCCAGGTTGTTGAAAGTTTCTGTCATCATTTTGGTTAGTTGTTTGATTTTCAAATGTTTCTATGGTATTTAAAGCCAAGACACTTGTACCAACTAATGGATGTAATGTTGCGAATTGTGAATAGTAATCAGGTAATGGTTGAGATGGACATGTCTTAAGATAAAAAAAAATTAAACAAAAACATCCACAACAGAAGTATTATTAGATTTTGGCTTTATAAATTCTGATCAGTATTACCCATATGATGTACTAATCTTCATTGAAAATGCTACTGAAAAAAAAATCAGTATATTGAAAGATTCCCTTTTAATTAGATCTTCGTCTATGGCTCTATTTATTTATATAGGTTTACAATAATATCAGAATACCAATCAAGTGGTGGAGGATTGATAAACAATAATTGGGGATTTTAAGCAAGTTATTAGGATGATAAGTTTGAGAAATCAATATGCAAATAATCAACAGAGTAATTATACGCGATTAAAAATGGTAATTATGATAATGTGAAACATGTTATTCCTAGACAAATAACATAGTAGCGAACAAGGTAAAAATAAGGTGCTTCTTCTCGAGTGGCCAGTCGTAAACGGCCAGTAACTGCGTATGAATAAGAAGGCTAGTGAATATTGATGGAACAAGAGAGAAAAAGGCATAAAAAGGAATACCAGAAGTCACGTCATGTTGACTGTAATGTTGATGAAAGTGGTTGAATAAATTTCTTCTGAAGATAAAGGTTAGCACAATTTTGGGCAAAACTAGAGAGTGGTCCTCTGAACGAAACCACTGGCTGGTTGAAATTATATTCTCGTTACATGTATGATGCCTTTTTAATTCTCGAAAATAAGACTGGTAAAAATGCTGTCCTAAATAAGTCTAATATTGTTAATCCAGCGATTAGATTCAGAAGAGAAGAGGAGCAAAATGGTCGTATTCCATTTCTTAATGTTTTGCCGATTAGAAAGTTAGATGGACCTCTGAAGCGAAGAATATGCAGAAAGCCAACGTCGACAGGTAAATACACGCACTGTTTCAGCTCTCTACCCCTCCAATACAAAAGGAATCTGGTGAAATATCCAGCATGCCGTGCCACAGCCATCTGCTGTGATGATTCTATAGATGAATAGTTTGGAACCATCCACGATTCGCTTGGTAGGAATGGCTATTTAGCAACGTTTGTAACTCAGCATATCAATGTTACGAAGGTTAAGTCAAGAATGCTAGGAGTTTTCAAGATGGAAATCTTGAAGCTGGAATTTCAGAGTGGCATTGTTAGTGAGATCATCACACAATAGATATAAAGACCCTTGCAAAGAGCATACTCAGCCGCTAAATTATATCTCATCTTCTTCAGTCACATGCTTCAGGGTGAAAGAAATAAAGTCAGATTACCTGATTCTGCACTTCCATATGAATTCATCAGTTCAACTGCTGCTGTTGAGCCAGTTGCATTGAGCGTACAATAAGGTGGATCCATTGTCGAATTTCAGAGCACCACCCATCATAGTTGTATAAGGGACAGATGAAAATAATAAAGAGCTCCATACTTGAACACTGAGTTGACGCTGGACATTAAGTGTATACTAGAAACACATAGAATCATTCACCGCCTACCTATTTTTTTACCACACGGACTGCGCATCCTCTTACTTCACACAGCAGAGGCGATTGCAATCCACCTTTACATACCTAACCTTTATATTCAAAAGAAATTTATTCAACCACTTCTTTCAATACTGTGCCCGTTAAGATGAAGTAACTTTGAGTATTACTTTGTATGCCTCTTCCCCCTCTTGTTCTATCAGTATTGCGTTACGTTCTTCTCTTTTAATTGTTTATTGTTTGTGACTGACTACTCGACACTGGATTCAGACACCATTAGCTCGAATCGTGTATAGATCTACGCTCCATTTTTCAACAAAACACATCGTCTAGTAGATATTTTAGTCTTATCTGTGTAAAACATCTTTTTATTAAGTAGCCGATAACTGTTTATCATCAGCTAACAAACGATTAATTGCTTGATGAACAACACGTTATTTTATCAGCTGTTGCAGTCAGTTAATTCAATGATATTGTTTAAAAAACATATACTTAAATTACAACCGTCTTAGATAAAAACAGTTCTGCGAACAGTTAGTTATAAGCTTCTCTACCAGACTTGTTAATACTTAAAGTCTCAGTTTCCATTTTATGTTTTTGATAATTCAGTTAGCTTATGGGAACTTGCAAACATATGATTTGCATAAAGTTTTGATATAAAGCGTTACGGTTATTGCTATTCATTTATAATTAGTAAGGAATAAGTAATCGATTTTCTTGATAACTTGTACTACAGCGCGTTTGAATCAGTGTAGTGAGAATATATGGATGATTCTTAAAGAGGTTTCATCAGAGTTCGTTAATTGACACTTGAGCAACCAATCGGAAGGGAAAATTCAATAAACCTTTGCAATTTATTTATAAAAACGACTATCAACATTGTAGTCTCGTTGTTCTACCCACAGGCAATAGAAACTGATTTAGTAGTTAAGAATAGATTAAGAAAACAATGTTCATCAACTTTTCAGTATGCTTCCCATCCAGAAAGGTGCAATATGTATATATAACATTAGTAGCATGATCACCTAAAGTTGATCACAGCTATTTTTATTTTGAATAATCCACTTGAATGAATTTCAATTTCGACCAATTAAAATAAACAGATGAGTTTCATATACATACCAGTGACATTGAAACCTTCAGTATCAGCATGATGGTGTTGTCTTGGAAATATTGAAATGCTTATTAGTAAACTGTAGTTACAGACTGCATTTCTAAACTTCACAGGTTTTGCCACTTGATTTTGACCAGTTTTAAATGCTTCTAGAGAGTTTTACTTAATAATAACCATGCTGAACAAACAATTTGTCTTTTCATGTCTTTTAAAATTGAAGGGACTATAGTACTTTAAAAGTATTAAGATAATTGAAATTTATGCGGAGATAGGAAATAGCAATAAACTATCAAGATCGAACAAAATGTCGTTGAGTAGAATATGAAACATTTCGCAGTAAGTTTATTTCAACGGTTCAAACTGTGGTTAATTCACGTTACAAGCAGCTTACAAACGAACAGACTCTTGTAAAGCTGTCAAGTTCGTCATATATATATATATATATATATATATATATATATATATATAGACTTAGAACCTCGCCTCGTTAACTAGTTCACTAGTTACTAGCCGGTCCTAAGCCCGGGTAAAGAGGGAAGGTTGGGCATAGGGCTAGCAACCCTACCCCGTAAAACAAATCTAACCGCTAAAGAAACTTCAAAGCACAAACGAAATATAAAAAATGAAAACAAACTTATTCCCCGCTGGAATCGGAGAGGCGAAATGACGCCAGTTGGTGAAAGCCTTCGGGAAGCCAATTGACCTGGCCGATGTGTCTTCTCTCGATGAAAGCAAAAGTAAACGTGGGGACATGGAATGTCCGCACGATGTTTGAACCCAGTAAGGCAGCCCAGATTGCAAGGGAGATGAGAAGGTATAACATCGAAGTGCTTGGGATTTGCGAAAGCAGATGGAATGGAAGTGGACTCTCCAAACTGTCAACTGGAGAATCAATAATCTACTCCGGTCACCCAGACGCCAACCACGAGCACACTGAGGGAGTGGCTATCATGATGTCCTCAAGAGCATCGAAGGCTCTCATGCAGTGGGAACCAATCTCCTCCAGGATCATGACAGCAAGATTCAACTCAAAAGGAAGAAAGGTCACAATCATACAATGCTAAGCTATGCGCCTACTAATAATGCAGAGCAAGAGAAGAAGGAGGATTTCTACAGACAACTTCAATCAACACTGGACAAGACGTCAGTTGGCGATATCAAAATTCTGATGGGCGACATGAATGCGAAACTGGGAGGGGGGGGACAACACGGGAAGAGAACTAACTATGGGTCGAGAGGCACTAGGTGAAATGAATGAGAATGGAGAATTGTTTGCAGAATTCTGCGCATTCAACGATTTGGTGATTGGAGGCAGTGTGTTCAAGCACAAAGATATCCACAAAGCGACATGGATTTCACCAGATGGACACACTAAAAATCAAATCGACTTCATCTCAATCTGGAGAAAGTGGAGATGCAGCCTACTTGACACAAGGTCAAGAAGAGGAGCAGATGTAGGCTCAGACCACTATCCAGTCGAAGCAATCCACCTTCAAAATCAAGTTGAAAGCCTTCAAGGAAGCTGGTGATAGACCTCAATTCAAGTACAACACTCGGTAACTGAAGGATGAAACTACAAAGGAGATCTTCACGTCAGCCATCAAGACAAAATGGGAGACATCGAGCAACATCCCTGAAGAAACGTGTGTGGAAGAACACTGGAAGTCTTTGAAAGAGATGTGGAAAGAAACCTGCACAACCGTATCAGGAAGGAAGGAAGAAGAAAGAAGATAAGGAATGGATCTCGACGGATACCTGGAAGCTGATAGAGCAAGGAGAGGAGGATGGTGAAGCAGAAGATAAACCAGTGCAAGGATGCTCAACGACAAGAGGAACTGAGCACAATGTATAAAACACTGGATGAGGAAGTGAAGAAGAGTGCACGCAAAGACAAAAGACACTTCTACGAAACACTGGCAAGTGAAGCAGAACAGGCTGCTCCCAGGAGAAAGAGAGACCTGACAACATTGTATCGAATAACCAGGTTGCTATCTGGGAGGGAAGAGACCAACACAGATGAAACCAGTACAAGATGATGAAGGAAATTTAATTACGAAAGGAGAGAAACAAAGGAAACGATGAGCCGACCACTTGAAGAAGCTCTTGAATCGACCACCATCTCCACCTGCACTTCGTCCAGAAATACCACCAGCAGCCCGGCTGCTGAACTACAAGTGAACATTAATCCTCCAACGAAAATGGAAGTCCTGAACGCCATAAAGCTACTGAAATGCGGGAAAGCAGCAGGACCAGATGGAATACCGCCAGAAGCACTGAAAACAGATGCAGAGACAACAGCGGATATGCTCACACCACTATTGCAGAAGGTGTGGAAGGAAGAGAAGGTACCTGACGATTGGAAGAAGGGTTACCTTGTGAAACTGCCGAAGAAATGATACCTCAGTGTTTGCAAGAACTGGCGCGGAATCACTCTCCTGTC